ACTTCAATGAGGGGAGGAAGAAGAGGTAAGCAGAGATCATAAAGATTCTGAAAGAGAATGGTGATAGCTATCCATGGTTTGAGGGAAGTTAAATAAATTATCTAAAGTGGAGTCACTTGAGCTGCAAGCAGCAAAAGGAAATGTGTTTATGAGATACATGTCTCCAAAAAGAAAGGGGATGGCTGAAGGGCTAATAAGCGCTGCCATGACTACAGAGCAGAAGTAAGGCAGCATGCAACTCCTAACATTTGGTTGGTTTCTACTTTTTTTTTTTTGAGACAGAGTTTATGTCACCCTCGGTAGAATACCATGGCATCACAGCTCACAGCAATCTCCAACTCTTAGGCTTACGTGATTCTCCTGCCTCAGCCTCCCAAGTAGCTGGGACTACAGGCGCCCAACACAGCGCCCAGCTATATTTTGGTTGCAGTTGTTTAGCTGACTGGGGCCGGGTTTGAACCCGCCACCCTCGGTGTACAGGGATGGCACTGTAACCACAGTGCTACAGGTAATGAGCCGGTTCCTACTCTTTAATATTGAGTACTTGTGGAGCTAAAGTAAAGCTAAAAGCATTGCTTGAAAGTATTCCTTAAGTGATGCAGTTCCACTTTCCATGATAGGCATTCATCTAAGACCCCACCACCTTTTGCTCAAAATAAAGGTTGCACACGTGTGGCCACAAAACCTCCTTAAGAGTGCCAGCTTAGAGCTCTGCATAAAGTGCTATTCATACTGAGATACATGAGAAAGAAGAAAATGATGTCTGAATGTTTACCCTGTGCTTGGTATTCTGCTGAGCATCTTTCTTAACCCTAAACAATTCTGTAACAAAGATATTCACATTTTACACGTGAAGGGACTGAGGCTCACAGATACCAGGTAACTTGCCTAAGGCTGCATAGCTAGTAAATGAGTTCTGACATCAAAATCCATTAATATCTCACTGAACCACTGGTCTTTAAATTCTTGGGAGTGGTGGACTTATCTGAAAATTTGATAAAACCACATCATCGGGTGGCTCCTGTGGCTCAAAGGAGTAGGGCGCTGACCCCATGTGCCAGAGGTGGCAGGTTCAAACCCAGTCCCAGACAAAGATTGCAAAAAAAAAAAAAAAAAAAATGATCTTTGAGTAATGCATGTAGTAGTTTTCCCGTTTCATTTCATAGGGCCTAGACCTGAAGCTCTGGGTTGATACGCCAAGATTAAGATCCTCTACACCAGACAACAGTGTGTTAAGTAGCATATATTTATCTATACAATTACTTTACCAATCCTACTACCCTGTTTGGAAGACAAATTTATTTTTAAACTCTAAAAAGAAATTAAAATTTTAGCCAGATACAGTAGCTCTCACCTATAATCTCAGCACTTTGGGAGACTAAGATGGGAGGGCCTATTTGAGCCCAGGAGTTTGAGATGAGCCTGACAGACCCCATCTCTACAAAAATAAAAAATTAGCCAGCTGTGATGGTGCACACCTGTAGTCTTAGCAACTCAAGAGGCTGAGGCAGGAGGATCACTTGAGCCCAGGAGTTCAAGATTACGGTGAACTATGACCGTAACACTAAACTCCAGCCTAGGTGACAGAGTAAGACCCTGTCTCTAAAAAAGAAATTACAATTTTAATGTAGTTTAGAAGAATTACAAAATTATTTTAGCATACCTTCCTTTCAACTTCGACTAATTTTTGCCTCTGGCAATGGGACCAGAATAAAAGCAACAATTTTGTTTTTGTTTATTTTTTGAGACAGTCTCACTATGCTGCCCTTGGTAAACTGCGTTACAGCTCACAGCAACCTCAAACTCTTGGGTTTAAGCAATTCTCCTGCCTCAGCCTCCCAAATAGCTTGGGACTATAGGCACCAGCCACTTGCCCGGCTTTTTTTTTTTGTTGTTGTTATTGTTGCTTAGCAGGCCTGGGCCAGGTTCGAACCTGCCAGCCCTGGTATATGTGGCTGGCGCCATAACCACTGACCTACAGGCACTGAGCCAAAAGCAGCAATTTTGTATTTATTTGTAATGCAATAGTATCTTTTTTTTTTTTTT